TGCATAGTAGGCTGAGAAGTGCGTTCTGGCTACTAGGTACGACATATATATATATATATATATATATATATATATATATATATATATATATATATATATATATATATAATATTAAAAAAAATAGGGAAGGGAGTACCACCTCTGGCTGGAAGAAGGGGGACCCATAGCCTCGGAGGAAACCACACATAACGCATTGGAGGGAATGTAGGTCCCCCTCCAATACAGTTTGTGTGTGCTTTTCTCCTACCACCCCCTTCCCTTTTTTTTTTTCCTCTATTGTGTATTTAAAGGTTACAAAACTTACAAGACAAATGCCTAAAGGTTATGGATCTCTTGAAGCTCCTCCGCTTCTGGACAGGAACCGAGGACACAGCAAGCATTTCCCCTCTGGATCGCCACACTGAGACGCTGAAACAAAAAACTGGAAGCCCTTGGGTCTCTGGTGACGTCAATGAGCTTGGAACCCAATTCCTTGAGAAATCCCAAGGCACTCTTGCCCCATGGGCCATGCGTCATATATCTTGGGCTGATCTCTAATTTGCCTCTTGGGCGGAAAGGGAGAGATTAAAATTGGAAAGGGTTTAATCTCCCACGGAGCAGGAAAGTGCCGTTGTTGTCTCTCTCGGTACATATTATAAATCTAATACATTCTGAGTTCAGTTCCAGTTTTAGTTATCCATTTGGAAAAATGATGACCTTCAATAAAGAAATTCTGGAAGGCTTCTGTGCCAATATATATATTTTTATACCAATTTAACAGTTAATTTCAGCAACATGATTAACGATGCTCGGAATATTAAGTCCCTTTCTCATGTTTAGTATCTTTGTGGTACGAGGGCACCCAAGGATTATCCTCAAGGCTTCATTCTGCAATTTATTGGTGGTCGGCTTTTTTGTTGGATCGGGTTACTTATCTAACAGGAAATCATCTATTTTTCCAGAGGCATAGGAGTATAACAAGCAGCAAGCAAGCATAAGAAATATTGCCGGAACAACCAACCGTGGACATCTTCAAGAGGAAACTAGATTTGTTCCTCCAAGGAGTGCCGGACCAACCGGGCTGTGGTGGGTATGTGGGCCTGCGGGCCGCTCCAAGCAACAGCCTAGTGGACCAAACTCTCACAAGTCAAGCCTGGCCTCGGGCCGGGCTTGGGGAGTAGAACTCCCAGAACCCCATCAACCAGGTATCAACCAAGAGACTTCGAACTAGGCACCCCACAGGGAGGTGTCCTCAGTCCTAACTTATTTATTATCTTAATAAACATGCTGTTAAACTCTGTATTGAGCAAATCCAACATGCACAGCATTAGCTATGCTGATATAATATACAAACCACTGTATCTGCACTATACACATGCAGAACACTATTAACTATGTATTAGACTCATGTCAGGACCTAGGTTTAGTCATCTCCGCAGAGAAAACAGATACTAAATCAGCGTCCACCCAGGCATGGAGGAGCTGTTCGCAAGATGCAACTGTATGATGGCTCCCAGCTTTACTATGTAAACAAATTCAAATACCTTAGCCTTGAGGTGCCAATGGCACTTTGTCATTGATGTATTCAGACTCTGTCGTCAGTATAAAGAGGCTCAGAGCAAGTTATCACTCAGGCTATGGTGCCAATGTCAGTTATCAAAATGATGTATTTTACATACATCAGATCTTTAGTGGATTATGCTGCACCTCCGCTTGCTTTGATGCCTGAAAACGAGCTTGGAAGGCTTGATAGATTACAGATTGGGATATTTCACCAGCTTTACACAAGTTATTACACTTAATTATTATTCTAATAAACAAACTGCCAAATGCAACGGTTTAGGAATTCACAGAACAGATAAATAAAATGAAGAACAGCCTCGATAATCTGGGAAATCCAATACTGTACCAGATATTACGTTCCTAGGAGACTGCCTAGTCTAGATGGAGAATCGCAAACAATAATATTATACCAAGAAATCCATCTGGAAACAATCAAGAACAAGTCGGAGAACCATTTAGATTCTGTAAAATTTGTTCTTGCTCAACCAGCTGATAATGGAGCCAACTACAACTGAAAATATTGTAGATCTGCTCTTCATAAACAATGAAGTAATAATCAGGGACATTACAATCTCAGATACCATACACTCAGATCACAAACTCAATGAAATGCAAACATCAATAAAATTATCAAGCATGATTTGTTCAATAAAATCAACTTTAATAATAAAAGGACAGACTGGAAAAAATACACATGGAACTTGGAAACATTTAATGGGAACTGTTCTAAGTAATAAAACTCACACAAGGAATAGAATATCTGACTTTTGAAGTCCATTTGAAATGTTTCTTTGCAGAAAGCCCCAAAGAGAACCAGCACAGAAAGAACACAGACGGCATGACAGATGAAGTAAAACACAACGGAAATGTTTGAGCAGACAACTATCCCTACAAAGAAAGAATAATTTAAACAGAGATTGTAGAAATAGAACAGATTGAAGCAATCATATCAGGTCAAAGTTATTGCTTTGTGGCCACCACCACAAAGCAATTATAACAAAAAGCCATAGAAGAGAAAAATATAAAATATTTTTCATGTGTAAAATAAAAAACCTGTCAGTATTAGACCTATTCTTACCAGCAATGGTTCATACATGGGGCTACAAATAAATTGATGAAATGCCAAAATAAGCAGTATGAGGACATGTTTAACATCCCAATAAACAGCATGAAATTGGAATATCCAACTAGTTTCTTTAGGTATGATATCCAAACCCCTGAAAATATAACTGAGATCAACACAAATTCTGCAGATTTTGAAAGAGAAATTAACATTGACAACACACTCGGCTCTGGAACCCAACTCGTGGAATTCAATATTTATAAAGAAATGCAAAGTGCCAGTATCATAAGCACTCAGTGGAGGTAAAGCTTGGACACAGGGAAAATGCCAGAAGCTCTTGAATCAGTATATATAGCTCCTCGACACAAGGGTGGGAGCAAAGCATTGGCTAAAAATTATAGACCAGTTGCATTAACATCCAACACAGTACTGTACAAGTTTTGAGAGAGTGATCAGAAATCACATAACTAGTTTTATAAAGACCAATGACCTCCACAACCCAGGCCAACATGGATTTAGAATGGGCAGATCATGCCTTTTGTAGCTACTTGACCAATATGACAAAATCACTGATGCATTAGAAGAAAATTGGAAAGCTGATGTGGTACACAGTACATGGACTTTGCAAAGGCACTTGATAAATGTGACCATGAAGTGGTAGCCCATAAAATGAGGTCAATAAGAATAACTAACAGGTCAAGTAGGATGATGGATATTCAATTTTCTGTCTGATAGAATGTAGAGTAAGTCAATCAAATAAAATTGAGTCAAGCACAATGAAAAGCTCTGCGCCTCAGGGTACAGTCCTCGCACCACTGCTTTTCCTTATCCTCACATCAGATATAGACAAAAATACAAATCACAGCTTATCTATTGTCGATGACACAAAAATTACTTCTGAAGAACTACAAGCTGATAAAGTTTTTGATTGGGCAGCAAAAAATTAAATGATGTTTAGTTGGCAGTGATAAATTTCATGTACTTAGGTATGGTTAAAATTAAGACTTTAAACAAAATAGAGGGTACAAAACACAAATTTGCCCATAGTAAGAAATAAACAGCTAAAGGATCTGGGAATAATGATGTCTGATGACCTAACTTTTAGGGAGCATAACTAAGCAAATAAGCTAGAAAAATGATAGGATGGATTACAAGAACCATCAAGTCCAGGGATCCATCACAATACTCATACTGTTCAAATCACTTGTGCTGTCCTGTCTGAGTACTGCTCAGTACTCATCTTGTCACTTCAGTGCAGGAGAGATTGCCGATATAAAGGGAATACAAAAAACATACACAGCATACATAGACATGATGAAGCACCTAAACTACTGCATAGGGATCATCTCATAGCTCTCAAAATGTACTCTAGAAAGAAAACGGGAGAGATATCAAGTACTGTAATATATACTGTACATGGAAAATACTGAAGGACCAACATCCAAATTTGCACAGCAAAATACTGTAACAACATACTGGAGTGAACAATATGGCAGGAAATGCTGAATATAGCCAGTGTAGAATAGGTGCCATAGGCACAATCAGAGAACACTGTATGAACTTCAGAGGTCCGCTGTTGGTCAATGTTCTCCTAACAAATATAAGAAATATTGCCGGAACAAAAATGGAAGTCTTCAAGAGAAAACCATGAGTTTCCTGCAAGAAGTGCTGTACCAACTGGGCTGTGGTGGATATGTGGGCCTGCGGGCTGCTCCAAGCAACAGCCTGTTGGACCACGCTCTCACAAGTCAAGCCTGGCCTCGGGCCGGGCTTGGGGAGTAGAACAACTCCCAGAACCCCCATCAGCTACAAGTCTCATTCAGTGGACTTGTACTAAAATACAACTGAGCATAGTGCAATAATGTATATTAAAACTAGATGCAACGAAAGGAGTCTATTCAGGTAATATAATCATTATACAGTACTGTTTTCAACTGCAGTATAAAGATTAGAAAAATAAAATTAGAAAATGATTTCAGGTGTAACAAGTCTGTACATTAACGGGATCAAAATTTGGTGCAATAAAACAAATAAAATTTACTAGATCAGTGATTATGTTATTAAAACGTGAAGAAAAAAATTTATGCATTCAATGGATTTGATGCAGTGGAAGGGAGCTGGTGCAAATGTGTCCGTCTGAGTGGGAGTGTACTGTGCCCCTTGATCCGCTCCTAAATTCCTTAACGCAAAGCATACTCTGTACTTCTGTGTTTATCTTCAATATTGTAACCTGCTTTTTCATTAGTCTCCTTCTTGTAACCTTGTACTCTTGTAACTTCTCCTTTTTCTTTTTAAGTTTTAACTCGTGTTTTTTCCAAGTTCTCATTCATTTAGTTTTTCTGCTTTAGAAATGTTCTATGCTTTATGTATGCAAGGATGTCAGTAAAAGACCTGGTAGGAAATAACTTTGTATTTTTATTTTGTCCATATATTATATAATTTGTTGTCCATATGTTCATACTGAAGCTGTCAAATATTAAGAATACAGTATTTAAAGTGAATATAATACATCTAGCTACACAAACACTTTTATCAAGACCTAATCTTTCAATAGAGTATTGTTCTAATGCTGACATCGAAGTAATAGAATGCTATTATATGACTCGAGAATCCACAGTTGTAAGTCGATTTGTCATAAAAAATCTAATGTATAGCTCATGAACACAATGAATTCTCATTAAACTAAACATAGCATTATAAAAATACAATATGTGACAAGAATTTACTGAATATTAATTTACTAAACATTATCTCCTCTGGTGTACAATATTCACTATTATGATGATATCAGTTGTCCTAATTAAAAATTAAGACCTGAAAATAATGGCTAACATCTAATACCGCAGGCAATCACCGTCTTCGTTCTCCCTTTTGGGTGCGTTTCTTCTCTTTCTCCTTCCTCTCGTCGTCTTTAGACTTCTGTTTAGCTCTGAAACAATTGTCATATGAAATATATGAAAACCCAATGTGTGAATGTCTGGAGGATCCCTGGTGGCTTGCTGAGAATGCTACATACTGAATAATCATATCAGTTGCTCAAGTTGTGTCTCCAGTATCAGGGACCACCGCCACAACCTGGTCCCCTTACACAGGTACAGAAAGAGGGTGACACTCTGCCACCCCACCAGAAATAGCCTCCAGAAACTCAATGAAGCTATACAGATAACTGGAGGGTTCACAGAAAACAAAGCCTCAAAACAGCCAAACAACTCTGCAAATGATTAACACAGAACATTGGATTCACTCAAACTAGCTCGAAACTTGTTAGTATTGATTACAGCCACCAGCCCTCAGTGGATTTTCCACCTCAGTTCTGGAGCTGATGAACAATCCATGATAAACCAAGGAACCTGTAGGGAGAGGTTGGGAAGGAGGGGGAGATCAGGGAGCCATGGCAGGTGCCTTCAGAAAAAGTTGTTTCATTACATTTCATGCTGGGTTTTTGGAGGAAGCCCCCCACCCTCAGTGCCACCCTGAAGCTAACTAACAACAGAACAAAAACAGGACTTACCAGAAAGGAGGAGAGGCAATAGACACGAGGATGAAGAAGCGAAACCAGGCCGGGAGACATTGCCCAAAGAAACACACAACTGACTGGGACCAGGGACACTTGACTAAATACTGGGCCACCACAACCCTATTAGAATGCTAAAATCCCTGAGCCCGAATATCAGCCCAAGACATGCTAGAGCACATCACGGGTCTGAAGGTAGACTGCAGGCTGGATAGACTTCATACTGGACAACCTGAGAAATGCAAGTCTTGGAAAAGTGAACCAAGGAAATTGTGTCAACCAATAAAGCATCCAACGAGGCAGAACCAGTGACACAGATAGCAACAAAGGGCCACCACCGGACACATTAAATAATGTACTGTTGGCCGAACTGGTCAAGCATCATTCATCAAGGAACCTCTCTGGAAGCTCGCCAACTCATTCTTCGCCAGAAAAGAAGGCAGCTGCAAATGAGCAAACTACCTACCAGGGCCAAGAGAACAGAACCCTCACCTCCAGAGAAGAGCCTGAAACTCCCCAACTCTACAGTCAGAGGCAATAGCCAATAAAAAAGACAGCCTGAAGAAAAACATCACGGGCCGAAGGGGAACAATGAACTGAGGCAAGGAAAGAAAAACCAGACCTGGTCAAAAGACCAGGATGGCTCAAGAAGAGCATAAGCCGGACAGAGGAAAAAATGCACAACTTGCAAAACATTGCTGTGGAGGTGTCGACACCGAGCATGCGCAACAGCAGCTCTGCCAAAGCCGTACGATGAGAAGTGACAGTATTCATCATAAGTTGCTTATCAAGAAACAAACATGACTAAAAGGATGGGACTGACCCGATGAAGATCGAGGAAAGATGAAGAAACAACTAAGGCAAAATGAGCACCAGAAAACCTCGTACTGCTGCTGCAAGGAAAAATTCAGATGGGACACCAACAAACCAGCCACCTACTTACAATACAAATGACAATACAACATGTGTCAAAAATACCAGATGCACAGAGCAGAGAAGTTTGAACCAGCTACATACATTGCTGGGCCGATCTGCTGGAAAAGGTGAAGCTGCTAAAAAATGCCCGTGTTTGAACATCAGTTCCAGGAACCTCCAGGAAGGTTCTTCCAGGAACCAGGAAGGTTCTTCCAGGAACCAGAAGGTTCTGTTTCCTGGAGTATGACTCCAGGCTGGACAACACCCAGAGCTTTTAACTGAATCAGGGAAACACATAAATGAACCTCTACCTTGACCAGTCCAGTCAAGAAGCATCCACCGCAAGAACCTTGCAATCTTGAAACAGGCCCACACAGGAGGAAAGGCATTGGTTCCACTCCGATATAAAGAGGTCCACTTCATAGCAATTTAATATCTCTTGCAGAGCCAGCAGGACGAGTTGTCGGCAGTCCACTCCTTGAAAATGGGATGGGAGAGAGAAACCCATCCACGAGAATACTTGACATACCCCATATGTGAACCGCATGGAGGATCAACCCCCTAGAAGCTAGAAACCAACGCATTCAGAAGCCCCCAAGAAGCTAGAAACCGACGCTACCTGACGCATTCAGGTGCACAGAAAGAGGGACTAAAGCAGCTTCCTTCGATTCGGGCAATGAACCACAGGTGAGCAGTCAAAGTAAAGCTAGAGCACCAAGCCTGGAAGTCGAATCCTCCATGACACAAACGCAAACGCGTGCACCTTGCAGTGTGCCCTAAGGAACAGACTCAACCACAGCCCATGGTGAGTGCTGGTCATAAAGGCCCAACCCAGAGATGAGGTGTCTTAACACACTGAACGACGGAGGAAAAACGATCTGGTAAAATGGTAGCACTACAAGCAGCACCAGTATGTACAGTAGAGCATCAGCAACAGAAATGAGGTGGAAAGTTGACTAAGGGCTGGTGGCATATAGTTAGTACTGACAAGTTTCGAACTAATTAGAGTGAATTACTTGCAGAAGTTGTTTGGAGGTTTCAAAGCTTCGTTTTCTGTAAACCCGCTTTTTTGAAAAGTTCACTGACATTCTGGAGGAATTCTTTTTTCCATGGGGAGGCAGATTGTTTGACATCCACGGCAGGTCAAACAGAACTTCCGCATCTCATGTGACCCTTTAGTACAGCAATATCAGCAAGATAGCATCAGGAAGCCACCAGAGGAGCTCCATACAGAAAAAACAAGTATGGTTATATAAAATACTTCATAAGTACAGTACAGTACAACACAGTACACTATTTTAACCCCTCAACTGCACATCACATCCAGGAATGTTTCATCAGTGATGTGCATCATATCCTGAAATGTTTTAGGAACTACAAAACATTTGAAACTCCTGTAGGTACAAGAGGCTCACATCTGCTTCCTCAGGCCTCCAGTAAACATACACCATCTTCAAAAAATTATGCCCACTCCACCTTGATGTGAGGGACTCAGTACTTGCACAGCAAACATGAAGAGAGCATACAGCAGCAGCTCACAGGATCACCACGCAGCTCGTGTCACCACATTTAAATGATGAGAGTGACAGAAGTTCCTGATAGTGATGAAGACTATGTACAGGGCTCAGACATCAGTGAACTTGATGCAGGTGATGACATTCACTGCATAAGGCATGCAGCCATAGCCACAGTTTGGTGGATCTTATGCATCATGCAACAGGACCTTGACTCATACATTAGGCTGTGAGCAGCCGCGTCTAACTGCATGGTTGATCAGTCCAGCAATCAGGAGGCCTGGTCGACGACCGGGCCGCGGGGACGCTAAGCCCCGGAAGCACCTCAAGGTAAGGTAACCTTATGTTCCTTTGGAACATGAACATGTAGAAAAGTATTCATATTCAGGGTTTATCCACCAGGATTCTGATAACTGCATTGTTTTGGGTAGTGTAAGCAGTGTGTGTAAAATACTGAGTGGCCCTTTGCTTCATCAGGTGCCGAGTGTGTGGAGCTATGATGTGCTTGTGTCACTGGTTAGATTATCTCACTGACCAGAACTGCTTAGTGGTTTTGTAATGGTTCATAAACATGTAGAGAGTTATATATTACATGCGTAAACAGGATGATAACAGTGATCTCAAAGGGATGGTGCTTGTGAATGAGAATTAATCTCTCAACTTGGACTTTACTCACTAAAGGTTGACTTGTCTCTGTAATTAGGAATATTACATAAAAATTAAATCAGTCTTAATTATTTACTTGCAGATAATTGTTATCACTGATTCTCTGATAAATTTAACTGTGTACAGTATTACAATCGAATATTAAATAAATGCATTATTCAACAGATAATTACCGTATAATTTGTTGTTTATATACGGCATAACTGGATAGTTTGTTCATAATGGAGCATTCACTAATTTTACCAGAATAACATCATACGAATTGTAAAATGTGTGTTTAACCCACTTGAACACAGCAGATGATGACTGTTTAGTATGCATCTTGTGTGGTAGCTTAAAAAGACAGTCCTTAATACTCGACCCTGCACATGTATTTTATTGAATGGCATAAAGATGGTGGCCAGTTAACTTAAAACACAGAATTGAGGAACAGATTTTCCTTAATCCCACCACAATAAAATGAGTTCCCACCATTCGGAGATATCTTGGGATGTATACATGAAACTGGTAGATAATATTCAACCGACTAGAACTCTAAACGTTATCAGAAGACAATCTTTAATGATTACAAGTTACGAGATCTTGCAAGGTTGGATCACAAGCAAAAGAAGCCATGGTTGGTCACAATCAACAGAACCCTGGTTTGACTCCTGGGAAGGGTGGGATGACTGGGTACCTTCTTTCATTTTGTTCACAACTATGCACTACCAAGGGAAGCTCTTCTAACCCTTAAAATGAGCAACACATCAATAGCTGGGGGTGAGTGAGTGTCGCGAATTGCGCACCACAGCTATTAATGAGTTGGAGTACCGTGCAAGATTTAAAAGTCCTACGGCTACCTCTGGGCTCAGGATTCAAATCAGCTTCTTCAGAGCTCTTGTAAACAGAAGTCATTTAAGAAACAAATCATGGGCAACATTCCTGGGTGTGAGAGCCTCGGTACCGAGTGAGCCATCAAGGCTGGCACATGCAGCATGAGCTAACAGCACTGCTGTTCAGCTTGTGACCACAGCATCACCTAAAAATGTCAAAATATATATGTAACTGGTATTATTTAGCAATGATAGTATTACAGAAGACCCCTGACTGTGATAAAAATTACCAGGCTTTTGATAATAGCAGGATTGTTGTGATAATTAGGCTGTGCATAGTATGGTGGGAGGAGTAATGCTGAAGGAGGGAGGGAGGTAGTGTTGTCTGCTGACACTGTGTGGCCACCTGTTATCTTGAGATGATTTTGGGGCTTTTCAGTGTCCCCGCGGCCCGGTCCTCGACCAGGCCTCCACCCCCAGGAAGCAGCCCGTGACAGCTGACTAACACCCAGGTACCTATTTTACTGCTAGGTAACAGGGGCATAGGGTGAAAGAAACTCTGCCCATTGTTTCTCACCGGCGCCCGGGATCGAACCCGGGACCACAGGATCACAAGTCCAGCGTGCTGTCCGCTCGGCCGACCGGCTCCCTATGTTATTGTCACTGTTATTGTCTAGAATCACCATATCAGCTCAGTGGTTCGCTATAGTGAACACAAATGTAAATACTTATATATATCATGCGTATATAGTGTAATAACAGCAAAAGGAGTATGTTGGGAGGAGCCATTTTGACAAGGAAGGTGGCATTGTCTGCATGACTTGTCATGCAGTGTATGGTGGCCACTATGCTGTTTGGACACCATACCAGCTTAGGTATACAGTTATGGTAAATAAAACATGTAGATACTTATACATAATGTGAGTATATAGTGTAATAACACCAAAGTGTTGGAGGAGGAATGTTAGTGCGTATGGCCTTGAACGAGTGAGGGAGGGAGTGTGGCAGCATCAGCTGTCTGTGCCGACCTCTGTTATTGTCTGCACTCACCATACCATCTTAGTTGTACAGTTATGGTAAACAAAACATGTAGATACTTATATATAATGTCTGTATATAGTGTAATAACACCACAAACAGTATGGTGGGAGGAGGAATGTTGGCGAGTAAGCTGTTGCTGAAGGAGGGAAGGAGGTGGCATTGGCTGGCTGATGTGTGGCGGTCACTCCTCGTTGTTTTGACTCACCATACCAACTTAGTGGTTTGTCATGGTGAACAAAACATGCAGATACTTATATATAACCTGTGTATATAGTGTAATAACAGCAAAACTATTTGTTTATTGTTTTATGAACATAATATTTGAACACCATAATTTTGAGTACAGGTATAGCGATGATTCACACATTTAAGGATATAAATATATTACTACTACACACTATTGAATATTACTGCAAAAAGCTAAGAAAAAATCAGAGACATTGAAGTAATTAGGTAATAATAGCTTTGTGACAACTCCCGCCAGACAGCTCCGGCGGAGCTGACCATCTCTGACGATTGCTCTGTCAACACCTCAAATTTGCTAGACTTCCTCGCCTTATTGAGGCCAATATATATCCCCTACGATTCCCCCTCCCCCATGACATCTTAAAACAGCAAAGAATGCTCCACTTCACAAAGGAAGTAGTAAAGCAGATACAAAAATTTATAGAACAATAGCTTTAATATCACACATCATAAAACTCTTTAAAACAGTGCTAAGAAGTAAGATCATAAATCACATGGAATCACAATAGCTACATAACCCTGAACAACACGGGTTAAGAACAGGGCGCTCCTGCCTTTCAGTTGCTAGATCACTATGACATGACCTTAGATGCAGTGGAAAACAAGCAAAACACTGAAGTAATATACACAGACTTTGTAAAGGCTTTCAACAAATGTGACCATGGATTTCTGTTCTCAAAAGGATTACTGGCAAAGTAGGGTGATGGATCTTTAACTTCCTAACAAATAAACAGAGCCCCGAGTGTAATAGTCAACTATGTAAAATATGGATCATCCACCGTGAAGAGCTCAGTCCCCCCAGGGTACTATACTGTACTTGCTCTGGTACTTTTTCTCATCCTCATATCAGACATATTAAAGGATACAAACTACTGTATAGTACTGTACTGTATCAGCCTTTGCAGATAACACTAGGTTTTTCTTGAGAGTAGACAACATAGAGGATACAGCATACCTCCAATCTGATGTTAATCAGGTCTTTCAATGGGCCACAGATAATAATATGATGTTTATTGAGGAAAAGTCCCAGCTCCTGCACTATTAAAAAAACAAAAATATAAAAACAGGAACTATATAAAACGAAGTCAAATAACATTAAAGAATGAAAATGCAATGTAAAGGATCTAAGAGTAATCATGTAGGAACACCTTACCTTTAAAGAACATAATAAAGTAGCTATCACGACTGCAAGAAAATGGACAGGTAGGATAACCTTTTAAACAAGGGATGCTATACCAATGATGATACTTTTCAAAACACTAGTGCTCTCTAGCATTAACAACTAGATAGTGTTATTGCTAACAATAACAACCCCATTCAGAGCCAGAGAAACTGCTGACCTGAAATGTGTGCAGTGATCCTTCATTGCTCGAATCCAGTCAATAAAACTTCTAAATTATTTGAACCAATTAAAATGTTTAAATCTGTGTTATCTAGTACAGGCAAGAGAGACATAATAATTTACACCTGGAAAATATTAGAAGGACTGGTTCCAAATCTGCACACGAGACCAGGAGGCATGGCAGGATGTGTAAAATAGCTCCAGTCCTTTGAAAAGTCGAGATGTAATAAGTACAGTATGCTGAGAGAACTATCATCATCAAACGACCAAGACTGCTCTACACACACTCCCTCTACACATAATGGGGTATAACTGGCCACCTCACGGTGTTCAAGAGAACTCAATAAAACACCTCCAAAGAATACCTGATCAACTAGTCTGTGATTCATATTTGAGGTTATGAGCGGCCACATCCAACAGCCTGGTTGACCAGACCACCAATCAGGAGACCTGTTCCAGAGCCTGGGCCGTGTGGAAGTTGATCTTTAGAATAACCACAAGGTAGCAATTAACTAAAGTCAATCACATCTTGAAGTTTCTCTGCATTGTTGACAGCAGTTTGTGCTCTTCATTTCCACAGTGAGCAATGTTTACAGTGCTCAATAAATCACTTTGCCCGCCACATGGCCATTCCAATGATTTAACACCACATTGCTCTTACCTGTCTTCTTTGTCCTTTTCTTTCTTGCGCTGTGATTCTTCTTTGTCCTTCTCTCTCTTCTCTCGCTCTGCTTTATAAACTTCTTCTGCATTGGTATTCTTAAGGCCTATACCTCCACCGCTCTCTTCTTCCTGATCACTGTCAGTAACTTCTCCATCCGACACCTGCCAGTAAGCGTCTACATTACCGTACTGTATCTCAATAACAAGGCATACCTCTGCCAACCTTACCCTCATGTCGAAATAAGTTGGAACAATATATGCCCTTGAAAATTAAGAACTTCAGTAAAGAGCTAAATAATGTCAGTATTTTATATATTAACAATCATAATAAATTTGATCATACTTTCTATTTCTTGGTAAACAAAAATAAGATGTTGAGCATAATGAAACCCTTTCCCAAGCCGCTCTCTTGGATGCTTCCCAAGTCACAGCTCATAAAATTTTCATTATCTTTCTTAACAAGTACACTGTACTGAAGATATTAGCATTTGCTGGTCCCTTAGCAAGCTTTACCCTTCGACAACTGCTCATGTCAACTGACAGTTTTCCACCATAAAAATGTGTGAATTGAATTCTGCTTATAATTTTTATTACCGAGATTTGACGTTACTGTAGGACCATTTACCTAATAAAATTATAAATCTTCTTGTTCTACATAACAATCATTAATTTGGAGTTTGGAAGCATGTAGCACCCTTTTGCCAAAAAATATTTATTACAAAATTGTCAGTTTGAGACCACTTTTCCTATTTTTCTTCAACTACCCATATTTATTAACATTTTCCCCTAAAATTCTACAAGAAAACACGAAAATACGTGCCAATTCAATCAAAATTTGAGAAAGTGATATCAATTTCAGAATTTAATTAACTTTGAACTTGTATACTTTATATACAAGAAAATATATTGATATTTTTAATATTTGTTTTCCAAATAAAATCAAGTCTTATCCGGAAAGAATAAACTCTAAAAAAAAAAATGCACACTCAAAGGGTTAAGTCATACATATTTACAAGTCAGGTTATCTTGAGATGATTTCGGGTCCCCGCAGCTTTAGTGTCCCCGTGGCCCGGTCCTCGACCAGGCCTTCACCCCCAGGAAGAAGCCCGTGACAGTTGACTAACACCCAGGTACATATTTTACTGCTAGGTAACAGGGGTATAGAGTGAAAGAAACTCTGCCCATTGTTTCTCGCTGGCACCCGGGATCGAACCTGGGACCACAGGATCACAAGTCCAGTGTGCTGTCCACTTGGCCGACCGGCTCCCGGCATTAGTCAGAGCAACTAATCTCTGTTATTTGCAAATAATTTCAATGATGGTAAAAGTCACATCCATAACTACTGTATTGGTTACAAGTACTTGGTTACATGAGCTGGCTCAGCTGCTCTTGCCACCTTACATGTGAATACTGAGCAAGAATGGCACTTTTGAGATTCTCTTCCTCCCTGGAACGTGTCTTA